ATATCTGCTTGATTCTAACAGCTAGCAGTGAAATGGGCTACATGAAGAAATTCAATTCCTTTGAAGAATTTCCATTTATGATGATTTGGGAGCACTTCATAACATAATGAAAAGAGAATACACTCTAGAATCAGTCTTTCTGTTGTTCCATCCTAATTCCATCTAGCTATGTGACATCAAATATGTAATCTTATCTCTCTGTGCCTTGAAGTCCACAACTGTAAAATAGAATAATTGGTTCCTACCTCATAGAGATATTGTGAGGATTAAAGGAAATCATGCATAAATCAAAGTGAAGATGACTTGAAACACTTGCTGATGTAGACCAAAGACCATAGTCTTCAGTATGGATTACACCTCAACATAAAGAAAATGAAAATCCTCACGACTGGACCAATAAGCAACATCATGATAAATGGAGAAAAGTTTCAGGTTGTCAGGGATTTCATTTTACTTGGCTCTACAATGAACAACCATAGAAGCAGCAGTTAAGAATCAGATGATGTATTGCTCTGGGAAAATCTGTGGCAAAAGACCTCTTTAAAGTGTTAAAGAGCAAAAATGACACTTTGAAGACTAGGGTGCACCTGACCCAAACCATGGTATTTTCAATCACCTCCTATGCATGTGAAAGGTGGCCAACGAATAAGGAAGACCAAAGCAGAACTGATGCCTTTGCACTGTGGTGCTGGTGAAAAATACTGAAAACACCATGGACTGACAGAAGAACAAACAGGTGTGTCTTGGAAGAAGTACAGCCAGAATGCTCCTCAGAAATGCAAATGGCCAGGCTTCATCTTACGTAACTGTGGTCATGTTGTCAGAAGGAACCAGTCCCTAGAGAAGCATATGATGCTTGGTAAAGCAGAAGATCAGAGAAAGAGGGGAAGACCCTCAACGAGATGGATTGACACAGAGGCTGCAACAATGGGCTCCAGCACAGCAGAGAGCACGAGGACGGCACAGGATTAGGCAGTGTTTCGTTCTGTTGTACACAGGGTCACTATGAGTCAGAGCTGACTGGATAACACCTAACAACAACAACCTCATAGAGTTATTTGAGGTTAAAGGAAATAATGCAAAAACTATAAAGCAGCAACTAATACGTAATAATGGTATGTAATTAATGTTTTTGTATGTAATTGATGGTGTTGTGTGCCAATAAGTTGATTCCAGTTCAAAGCAACCCCACAAGACAGAACAGAATTGCCCC